GGGGGGGGAGGAAGGGCGGGCAGAGGGAGAGGGAAAGAGAATCCTCAAGCAGACTCAGTGCTGAATGGGGAGCCCAATGCGGGGCTCGATCCCAGGATCCCAAGATCGTGACCTGAGCCGAAATTAAGAGTTGGACACCTCACACTGAGCCACCCAGGCGCCCTGAGAAGTTGGTTTTTAAAAGAAGTTGGGTGCTTTGTAAATAAAGGCAAACAGGGGAAAAGGAGACTATGTGTTATGTAAATTATTCCTCAAAACCAGCCCAGCCAGATAAGTGCTATTATCCCGTTTCACAGACCAGAAAAGCAAGGTTTGGAGAATTATATAATTTTCCCATGCTCCGGTTCATTAAGTGGAAGAATGAATAAATTTTAACCTTTATCCCTTCCATCTACTAACAAATATTTATTGAGGACCTACTGTGTACTTACTCTGGACACTGGGGAACCAAATAATTATTTGAACCTGTATCTTCTGATTCTGAAAGCTGTTCTTTCTCCCCCAGAGTCTGGTGACAAAGATCATTTCAATCTGAGCTCGAGGGAAGTTGGATTACTCTATGATTATGCAAGTCGGTAATGAGATGTACAGGGAGTGGAGGGTATGGGAGCATCAAACAGGGCATGGCAGACTGAACGCTAGGTTTATAGGCTGAGCAGGGAGGACCCAAACCATTTTGCCTGCTACTTTAAAAAATGAAAATAACGAACAACCACAAAAAGAATAAACAACAAAAATTTTTATGGTTACATTTTCTGATTACCAAACATGGGGGAAAAAAGTATATAGAGACAAAAATCATTTTTGATGTTACAAGCCAGAGATATGACTATAATTATCTTAGAGTATGTTTCTCCCGTCCATTTTTCTCTGCTTTGGCTGCTTAAAATTTTTTTCTCTGATTTTGGCTTTTAGCAGTTTTGTGTACTAGGTCTGTGTGTGGTTTTCTTCATATTTATCTGTTTTGGGACTTTGTGAATCTGTAGGGGGATGTCTTTTATCAGTTTTGGGGACTTTTTCAGCCATTATCTCTATATGCTAATTTTACTCCGTTTCTTTTCTCCTGGGACGTCAGGTACATGCCTTTATTAAGCTTCTCACTGTTTCTTTACATTTTCCACTTTTTTGACTCTTGGGCTTCATTCTGAATTCTTTCTTGTAAGTTATGTTTCAGTTTATTAACACACGTGAGCTGTATCTGATTTGCTATTAAGCTCACCCACTGAGCTTTATGTTTCTGCCATTGTCACTTTTTAGTTCTAGATTGCTCCTTTGGTTAGTTTCTAAGGTTTCCAGTCTTCTACTGAAGCTCTCAGTTTTCTGTTTTATTTCCTTGAGCATGCTTGCCATATTTATTTTCAACTACAGCATCTGAATCCTTCTTAAATCTGTTTCTATTGCCTGTGTTTCTCTTGAATTTTAGCCATATATTTTTTTTTTTTTAAGATTTTGTTTTTAAGTAATCTCTACACTTAATGTGGGGCTCGAATTTACAACCCCAAGCTTAAGAGTCCCATTGAGCCAGCCAGGCACCCCCAGCCATACAGTCTTAAGTTCCATTAGACCCTAACTCGTAAGCATCATTCGGCACTAGGAAGCTCTATCCTGGTGACCATCCATGAGCAATAACTCAGAATCAAATAACAGTTCTCCATTCTAAGATCTCATCAAGTTTAAGGTGTACTGTTGATTTAATTATAGCTTCTCTGAGAGTTGGAAGTAAAGATGTGCTACTTGAAACATGCACGTGTGACCTGAGTTCAGACATGTCTCATTATAACAGAGTAGGCATCTAAGAATTCTAGAAATATGGCAGAATTCCCCAGCCTTGGGCAGACTTGTTTATACATCCTGACTCAGTTTCTCTTTAAGTTTCCTTTTAAAGCCTCCTCAGGGAGAAACACAGATAACCGGAATTGTCCTAAAGCTTTGTTATCTCCAAAGGCTCAAGAACTCTCCAGCATTCCTGCTGATTAAACCCACATTAAATGTAGTTAGAAATAGGATCCATGAGAATCCTGCACTTAGGAAATCATGGGGCAGGAGCCTGGTGCACCACGGAAGTCCTTACTTCCAAAAAGAGGAAAACCCACCTCTCAGGCTCACAGTAGAAGGGATTGCTTACCTTTTGCTGAAGCTGATGTGGCTGGAGTGTTTTTCATTTTCTTTTAATATTCTAGGACTGGTCTTAAGTATCACCAGAATTTTTCTTGGCCATGAGCTCTAGCAAGCAAAACTCAAAATGAAGGAGGAACTGTGCTTGCATTGCACAAAGCATAGCTCTTTGATAGGCTAACTGACCACGGAGTCTAGCCCTACCAGGGTCAGGCAGCGGGCAGGGGCTGTGGCCAAGGGAAGCATGCAGCTCCCCCCACCCCCGCCCCGAAGCAGACAGCTACTTCACAATACCAGTTGATTGTTGCCGTGTGGTAATACAGCCCAGGGTTTCCAGATCTGAATTTTGTCAGAAGCTGGTAAAACAGATTTTTGTGAGCAATCTCCTGATTTTTATGTTGGCAGTGAATTCATTTTCTAAAACTTGCAGGTATGACACACCGTGTTTTGGAGATAATTGCAGCTGTGGGCTCCTGCTGGTTGTTTCTGGGCTACATGTTTAGCATTAAGTGAGCCTCTACTATAAGAAGGTAGTCCTGGGGCACCTGGATGGCTCAGTTAGTTAAGCAACCAACTCTTGGTTTTGCGACAAGTCATGATCTCAGAGTCATGAGATCGAGCCCTATATCGGGCTCTGTGATCAGCATGGAGTCTGTTTGAGGGTCTCTCTCTCTCCTTCTCCTTCTGCCCCTCCTCCTGCTCATGCACTCATTTTCTCTCTCTCTAAAATAAATAAATCTTAAAAAAAAAAAAAGAAGGTATCCCATCACTGACGCAACATGGAATGCTTTCTCTGCCTGCCCCCCTCCCCCATCATAGAGGCATTCCTGGAAATGCAAGCACTTTCCAGGGGGCTTTCTCAGTACACTTGATGTTTCAAAAGGTGCATTGCCCTCCCTATGCCATGTTGGTATTTTGAAAGACTCCCTCAGTGAGGTCCATTTTTTTACAATTAAAATGGGATTTTGGAGTCCCCCGCCATGGAAACTGCTTATAGTAAGTAGCCCAAAAGCATACAGAATATCATTGAAATCATCTGCCACATGGTCTATGGGCAATCTTAGAGTAGACAAACGAGTAATTTGGCTGATATTAGCAACCTTGCCAAATTGCCCATAGGGAAATTTACTAATTGTCGGTTCTCAAATATTTTAGAAGTGTTATATGAATGGAGATTCTTTTCTTGCCTGGAGGCAAGCATGCAAGTTGCTTAAAAGGTAATTGGGACAGTTACGGGAAGAAAAGCATGTCAGATGCATGATCCCATTGCTTGGGGACTGTTTCATAGGGATGAGACTGTATCTTAGAAGAAATGATTAAAAAGAGACCAGGAAGGCTTACAGAGCAGTTGGTACCCAAACGCAGTAATTAAAGGTTGAATTCCTCAGGGGCCCTACTCTGTGTCCTTAGGCGAGTAATATTCACCATTGTGCTGTAATCCATTTGAGAAAAATATGTTATCTGATAGAATCTTTCCAGGATTTGTCTAATATCTGTTCAGTGCTCAGAATAGCTGGTGTTGCCACTTTTACTTTGCATAGCTGTTCCACACGAGTTAGAGAATAGAAATGCCTTGGGGGTGGGGCACCTGGGTGGCTCAGTTCCGAGTCTTGATTTCAGCTCAGGTCACGATCTCAGGTCATGACCTCAGGGTGGTGGGATCAAGCCCTGAATCAGGCTCCATGCTCAACAGGGGGTTTGCTTCAGATTCTCCCTCTCCCTCTGCCCCTTCCACTTGTATGCGTGTGCACCCTCTCTCTCTCTCAAATAAATCTTTTTTTCTTTCAAAAAAAGAAATGCCTTTGCAATGGATATTGTTAAATGTTTAGATGGAAAGCATGTTTTTAGAGATCAGGGGAACTTCTTTGTATCTCTGAATTTCTATCATCTTCTAGTATTTTCGAACTATACATCTCAGCACACTTGTGTCCCTGCAGATGAAATATAAAATCTTAAATTCATTTCATATATGCAGCCTTGTTTCTAGTAAGTTCTGCTTTCTGGGTACAGCACAAATAGGAAACTGAAGACTCTTGTCTAATTGCCTAAGCTTTAGGGAATGAAGGAGATAATACAACGACATTGGGAAATAATCATCCCTGTGTACTGATCATAAAATCTAGGTGCAATGTTCATGTTGTCCAGGCCTGCCCAGCTCCCACAGCTTGAGAAGGAAATGAACAAGGTCACAGGAGAGCCAGTTGTGGTGTCAAATTTATTTATATGGGGAATGAAATACTTCCCAATTTAAGAACAGATCGTTAAAGCAAGGGGAGGACATGTCTCACACATGCATTTTCTGTTATGAGTTTTCTCTTGCTGAGTCCTGTGGGCACCATCGTTAGCAGGCTCCACATCGCTGCATTTTTAATTCAGTGAAACATGAAAAGATCCGGTTCTAAAATGGAATGCTTCACACTTTTAATTGCTCTTCCCCCCCCCCCTTTTATTTTCTTTTAGTCCTTGAAGAAAGTAACTGCTCAGACCCTGGGGGCCCAGTCAATGGGTACAAGAAAGTAACAGGAGGCCCAGGGCTTATCAACGGGCGCTATGCAAAAATTGGCACCATCGTGTCCTTCTTTTGTAATAACTCATACGTTCTTAGTGGCAATGAGAAGAGAACTTGCCAGCAGAATGGAGAGTGGTCGGGGAAACAGCCCATCTGCCTAAAAGGTAACTGATGAGTATTTGTGAAGTATATTTCCACAGAAATAGATGGAGTGGCTGGACTTTTTGGTAGCTCCCTACATGTGTGTGAGCCCCTGAAAAAATGCCTTTCCCTCTTAGGTTCTCACTGGAACCATCTATCACTCCTAGGTGGAAGGTCATCCCTGAAAACATATGCTTCTTTTTCGGACCTCCAGAGGACCTGCTTATCCTAATCACAGCTTCTCACTGTGATCAAGAAGAGTTACAAAGTTATCAGAGCAGTTTAGGGGAGATGACAGGGCTAGGTTTTATATATGTAAACCCAAGAACAAAATTGAGGCAGTCAGTGGGCTCCAATGTAGCTACATTTATCTACTCTCTATGAAATAGGAAGTTGGTACAGGAAATAAAAGAACAAAATAGACACATTATCCCTGCCAGCCTGTGTGGTGGGAGGTTTAAGATGTTAACATAATGGAAAACATCTTAATAAGATAGCAAGACCTCCAGCATTCAAGGCAGAGTTAGAGGAAATGGATGAGCAGTGTATGTTGAGAGAAAGGAGCAATCAATATTGCTTGAAATAGGGACAGCTGTAGGCAGCAGGTAGGAGCCGAGCCAATCTGGGAAGCCTGGAAGAGTTTGCAAGAGGTGCAGAGCAGTTGGGATGATATTCCCATCATAAGACAAAGGAAAACAAGACAAGGAGTATAGGCAGAAGTGAAAGGATCATGGTAAACTCAAAGTGGGGCCAACTGGGAATCTGGAAAGTAGATTGAAAAGGTTGGTTTGGGACCAGGAAACATGGAACGTTGTATAGAGAAGCTTGAAACTTACCCCTTGGCAGTGGGGATGCGTAGTTTTTTACTGAACCAGGTCAACAGCCCCTGTATTTTAGGGGCAGGTCACAATTATCTGGCTGTTTCCTAGGAAGAAAAGCATGTCCTTGGCCTAGATTACCCAGATAATTGCCTTAATCCTCCACTTTCCCTTCTGGGTGTTTGTCAACAACCCAACTCATGGGAAAAGAAATAAAAGAGAACGGTTTGTGAAAGGAATAAATCACTTTAGACTTTAGCCAGAAGCGACCTTCATCCCCACCAGCACAGACTCTGATTCTTGATTTCATTAAGTATGGAAACAGTGTTTCATATGTCCTTGGAGATTTTTGTCAACTCTTCTCTTACAAATTAATAACAACCAAAGTTCTCTAGTTTACTAATTAGATGAATGTTGGCTGCTTGATTGGGAAAGTGAAGAAAAAGACACTTCAGCAAAATTAAGCCTGGGCTTTGAGGTGCCTTCAAATAATCATTAAGAGCCTCGGTTTCAGAGGAAGGAACTAGAGGAAGCAGCTACCCAAGACTTACCCATGGTTGACACTGCCATCTGGTCTTAAACGAGAGCCTTGTAGTTCCCTGTGTTGGGATGTATTTTAGAACCTTCATTTTTGACTGTGACTCCACGTTCCATCAAGTTCACTGATGATATTTGTGGGAACAGAGAGTCCCAGTCTAATGACTGCCAGGGTTTCACATCACCCGGGCGGAGTGGTTTTTCAGAGGTGCGTCCTCCATGGGGGTTCTCCCAAGAGGGGGTTGTCAATTTCGATGAAAGGCAGCATGCTCTTTTGCTCGGGAGCTTTCCAAACTTGGCTGGCACACCTCCTCTCTCAGACCTCTGAGGGGTGTCCAGAAAGGGTGGTCAGGGATGAATCTGAACTGAATGAACATGAGCAGTTAATATGGGAAAAGCTGATGCCCTCTTTTCTCCTTCATTCTAGCCTGCCGAGAACCAAAGATCTCAGACTTGGTGAGACGCAGAGTTCTTCCCATGCAGTTTCAGTCAAGGTGAGGTCGAAACACCTGAGCTCTGCTTTCAAGGGGAATGCGTGTGTCCCTTCCCGCCCCTTTTCCCCACTTGTGTTTGGCCAAAGACAGTCTGGGGTTTTTTAGGGACACTCAATGCTGACTGCTCATGAAAGAATAGGGCCTGTTAGAGGGAGGCTGATGAGCCAGCTGCCTTTGGCCAAGAGGTAGCAACTGCTGGAACATGGACACAGTTCATGGGATCGTGGGAAAGTAGGTGGTTGGTGGATCTTGAGACTTGAAGATGACCTTTGAGGAACTGGATTTTAATACTTGAGTCTTCCTGAAATTGCTGTGTGTTGCCTAGGGCAGCTTCTAGGGAGGTGGCCTTCCTGCCACATGCAACCAGCTTTGGCAACCATGCAACCAAGATGTTCTTGGTGGTAATCAACCAGATGAGGCAGGCCACTGGCACCCAGGAACTAGAGATAAATGACCAGCCCCGGTGAGGGATGGGAGCCCTCAGATATGCCTGCCTGGCCTTCCTCCTGGGAAGACAGAGGTGGGGACCACCGGTGGGCAGAGAATCGGCCCGGTTCTGCTTCTTCTCTCCTCGTTTTGTAGGAGAAACTGTTCTCACTTCATCTCATACCATTCTCCTCTTCCCCTCCACTCCGGCCCACGGGCCGCCCAGCTTGTCCCCGCCCCCTCCCCCCAAAGTGCTGCATCAGAGCCTTGGCCCTTCTGTCTGGACCCTGCTTCTGCTGCGTTTCCGTGAGGTTTAAAGCCGTGCTGCCGTCCGCTCCCTGCTCAGTTTTTACCTGGCAGAGAGACCTTCCCTGACCATCCTTTGGAAAATAAGAAACCCCCCCATCTTCTTTATCCATTCATCTGCTGAAGGATGCAACTGATGAATCGTTGAACACTACATCCAAAACTAACGATGTACTAGGGGCGCCTGGGTGGCTCAGTCAGTTAAGCGTCTGCCTTCGGCTCGGGTCTTGATCCCAGGGTCCTGGGATTGAGCCCCCGTCAGGCTCTCTGCTCAGTGGGGAGCCTGCTTCTCTCTCTCCCTCTGCCACTCCCCCTGCTTGTGCTCATAGGCTCTATCTCTCTGTCAAATAAATAAAATCTTAAAAAAAAAAAACAAAACACCTAACGATGTACTATATGTTGGCTAGCTGAACATAAAAAAAAAAAGAACCCCCCCAAATGTTATAGTACTGGTTAATGTTTTCTCCTTTTACACTTTACATAAAAACAAAGCCATCATCAACCTCAAAGAGTCGATCAATTAAAAGAAGAATAATAACCCCACCTCAACCCTGACTGCAGAGCTGACTTCTTTGCTCTCCTGCATTTTCTGTGCCTCAGATGTCAGCTTAGCTCCAGCCCTACCTGTCATCCTACCTAGGTTTTTGTTGTTGTTGTTCAATTTCTGTCTCTACCTAACCCTTCAAAAATAAAAGTTACCTGAACATTTTCTGTTTCGTTCATGCTCAAGTTCTGGGACCAAGAGCAATGCTTGCTGCAGGGGAGGCACCCCCCCACCCAAAATAACCATCCCAAACAGTGAATGAATGAATGAACAAGATTGACAAATAATGGCTCAAGACCGAGTTCAGTCTTTCTTAAGCACTGTATTCTTGGGCAGGCTGCTAAACTTGCTAAGCCTTTAGTCTCCTCCTTTGAAAAGTAAGGGCAATCCTAAAAACGCCAGTCTCTGGGGATTGCTGTACGGATTAGATGCAGCACACAGAGCTAGCTAGCATTTATTGAGTGTTCGCCATGTGCCAGTTACTCTTCTGAGTGCTTTCCACGTTGTTAGCTCGTTTAATCTTTCCTACAACCTCTGAGGTAGGTATTACTATTATTAGCGTTTTCTGGTCGGTTTTATTACCAGTTTTATTACGGATGGGTAAAGTGAGGCTCGGAGAAATTAATTAACTCGCCCCAGGTCACATTGCAAAATGTGGATCCAGGATGCAAATCCAGGATCTTCAGAGTCTTCAGCGTCTTCAGGGTCTGCTCCCGTATGCGCGAAGCTGCAGCCTAGCCCCATGTAAAGGCTTTAGCCAACCACTCACGCAAATGAGCAGCGGTTAGCGGCAGCTATCGCCTTCGGGACCCGTAACAACGAATCCCAGTGATTAGAACTGACCCCAGCCAAGTGACCTCAAATACTCCGAAAGCAGGATAGCCATCAATCTCTCACCTTTCCTCTGGATATTTCCTTCTATCTCTGTCTTTCCCGTTTCAGGCAAGGCATTTCCTTGGGAACAGTGACAGTGAAATACAAATTCCATCTTTTCCTGATCTTTATGATTTGCCTGGAGCTGGACTCTCCACTAAGTGGGATGAACCTGTTCTTTCCAACAAAACATCTTGTAGAGGAGCCCCTGAACTACTAAAAAAGACCCCTGGGCTTTGCATTTTTAAGGCAATTATAATGGAAGGTTAGGTGACAAGGTGCCAGGTGGCTCATGTGGATGAAAAAGCAAGACTAACACTTGGTTTTAAGGATCTTTCTGGAAGATAGGCTGCTGGAATATGGATATACCCATCTCCAGCAGCCCAGTCACCCAAGGACCCCAGAAGGCAGTGCAGTCTTTCAACAGATGGACCAAGAGATGAGCTGGTTTGCCAGTTAGGAAGCTCCTTGAACGACAGACCTTGTTCTAAACATGAGCTAAAGAGTCACTGAATGAAATCAATGTGAATGGAACATTTGCTCTGAGGGAAGCGCTATACAGACACATGAAATAGATTTCTTCGGATGACATCGGATGGCACAGTAGAGACACCAGGTTGGGAGTCGTAATTGCTCAGTGCTGCCTTGGGTACCATCTTAGCTTCCTGTGTGCCCTTCTCTACTCCCACTTCCCCCTCCAGCCTTCCTTTTCCCATTCATTAAACAGAGACGAACACACTGTTTCCTAGAGGAATTCTGACTTCTCAGTTAGTGGTTGTTATGTGCTGATTAAAATGAACGCAGGTTGTCCAACGTGTGTACATCTTCCCCCAAGAATCCCCAAGTGGTCTCTGGGGGACTTCAGCTTCTAGGGCTCATTTAAAAGGCCTTTTCACATTTACACACACTGCTCTGTATTCCTGCCAATCAGTGTGCCCTGAGAAGGTCCTATTCTCTGAGGTGTGCTAATTACAGACGCTGATTGCGAAATCCAGCTACTGTATCCACACAGTTTAGTTCAAGTCAGTTCCTGATATTGCCCCATTATCATAATGTTTGGAGGAAAAAAAGATGCTGGTCTTCAGAGGAACTTCCTTTCCTGTTTAATTTCACAGTTAATTTCTCTCTGTGCGCATGGACTGGGTAGCAGTCCCTTGGATAGCAGCTATTATGCCAGATATTATCCTCTGGTTAAAATCGTAGGCAGCCGGAGGCATGCCAGAAATGGAAATGGAAGAACAGAATGAAGGTTGAGGCGTGCAAGAGAATTTGCTCGGTGGTAGAGGGGAAGTGTGTGTGTGTGTGTGTGTGTGTGCGTGTGTGTGTGCGTGCGCATGCGCATGGTTGGGGGGGTGGGAAGGGGCAAATGGGAGAGAGACACACAGAGAATGAGACAGCCATGTTTTTTTCTGCTGTGACCAAATGTCTACGTGGGGATGGGCACGTGGACCACAGGGGCCACAAAGACTCTCTCTGGGCCCCCATGCAGGGAGACACCATTACACCAGCTCTACTCGGCCTCCTTGAGCAAGCAAAAGCTGCAGGGCGCCCCCACCAAGAAGCCAGCCCTTCCCTTTGGAGACCTGCCCCCCGGGTTCCAGCATCTGCACACCCAGCTCCAGTATGAGTGCATCTCGCCTTTCTACCGCCGCCTGGGCAGCAGCCGCAGGACATGCCTGCGGACCGGGAAGTGGAGTGGGCGAGCCCCGTCCTGCGTCCCCAGTGAGTCGGGCCTTGTCCGGGGGCGGGCATGGCGTGGTAGTCCGGCTTCCGTGGCTGCTTGTGAAAAGCCATCGACCCAGTTGAAGACTTTCTGGGAAAGGGTCCTTGTCCAGTGGGCCTCCAGCTAATTCCCTAGCTTGGTTCTGTCTCATATTCCACAGTTGGAGCTTCCTTCCTTTGCCTTAAACTTCTAACTCGGGAGAAACTAACTCATTAGGTCTTCGATGAATTTTTTTGGAGAGGGGCATTCTTCCTTGTGGATAATTCTTTATTTTTTATTTATTTTTAAGAAGATTTTATGTATTTATCTGAGAAAGAGAGAGTGCGTGCGCACATGCAGGGGAGAGGCAGAGGGAGAAGCAGGCTCCTCGCTGAGCAGGGAGACCGTTGTGGGGCTCGATCCCAGCACCCCAAGATCGTGACCTGAGCTGAAGGCATTTAACATTTAACCAACTGAGCCAGCCAGGCACCCCTCCTTGTGGATAACTCTTGTCATGTTCACTTGGAGAAAAGGGAGAGAACCATCATTAAGCACCAAGTAGGGGAAGGATTAACGATACCAGAAGGCTTCTACTTACGCCATCTTGGATACCCTGTCTGAGCCCGTTTTCATGCTTATCATCCCATGATATTGAATAGGTAGTTATTGATTAGGTGATGAGGTATTAAGTAGCCATAAGATTATGGTGATGATTACTGAGGTAATATGTGAAAGTATCTGGAAAAGAGCCTGGCACATGCTAAATTCTACCTTCCCCACCCTCTTTGTCAAAGGAGAACAGTATGGCTTAATTCTTTGTGGTCAAGTTTATAACGATAGTCATGATATTATGAGTCTGACTGTTTACATAGATCATTATCCAGTCTCGTTAAGAACGCTATGAGACAAATGTGATTACAAGACCCATTTTGCAGGCAAGAGGACTGAGGCTTTAAGAGATTTGGCAATTTGTCCAAAGTCCTATTGATAGGAAGTGCCTGGGATCCCAAGCCTTCCATCTTAACCCCAGACTTGATAGCCAACCATGTCAAGATGGTTGATTACTATTTAATGGGAAAAGGAAAACATCTTAGATGCTTAGTGGTCATCACACCCATGGGGCCCACCTTTCCAGATGTGTGTTCTCTTGGTTGAGCCACACATTCCCCTTTGTATGGGAAAGTTTGAGTTTATCTGACTGAGCTGGTGCTTTCTCCACAGTCTGCGGGAAAACTGAGAACGTCACTGGTCCGAAGAGCCAGGGGCTGCGCTGGCCGTGGCAGGCGGCCATCTACAGGAGGGCCAGCGGGGTGCATGGTGGCAGCCCGCACAAGGACACGTGGTTCCTGGTCTGCAGCGGCGCCCTGGTGAATGAGCGCACCGTGGTGGTGGCTGCCCACTGCGTAACTGACCTGGGGAGGGTCACCGTGATCAAGACAGCAGACCTCAGAGTTGTCCTGGGGAAATTCTACCGGGATGATGACCGAGATGAGAAGACCATCCAGAGCTTGCGGGTGAGAGAGGGCTGTAACCTGGAAACCAGGTGTCGGCTCAGCAAACTCCAGGCACCGGGAGGGCAGTGGCTGTCAGTCCCGACACCTTGGCATGTTAGCTCCCAGCCCGGAGCCTGGCAGAGCCTGGCCAGGGAGCAGGCGTCCAGTATTTCACATAGAGACTAGAAAGGAAAAAAGACTACAGAGTCTTTTTTCCTTTTGTTTTCAAAATAAGATTATAATAAATATCATCTATCACTGTGGTCATCAAAAGTTAATCACCTATTATGTTTAGAGCATTGTATGAGGTAGGCTTCGAGGACTTAGAAAGGTTTTATCCAAGATACTCCTAATCAATCTATAATATTCTTCTGTCTATCTCCCTCCCTCCCTCTCTTCTATCCACCTACCCACCCACCTCTCTGTCCGTCTGTCCATCCATCTGTCCATCTATCCATTCATTGTTGAGCTCCCACAGTATGCCATTCACAGGGAAGAGATACAGAACTGAATAAGGCATGGTCTTTGCCCTGAAGAATCCACAGGCTAGTGGAAGAGACAGACCAGCATATCATGATTAGTTTGACACAAGAGAAGCCCTGAGGAAATGTGCCCAAATACAGTTGAAGTAATAGAACGTGTACATAAAAATGTTAGAATGTATCACACATGTAAGCTCCTAGAGGCCCCCATCAAAGAGAGTGATCAGCAAGGGTTGGGACAATGAGCAAAGACTGTGGAAAAGTCTTGTGGAACATTCTGGGTGTGGCTCTGTCTTACTGGCTTCCCGATGAATGAGACGTGTACAGCGAGCCAGAGGTTGCAGTCTGGTAGCCTTTTAGGGGTTTGTGTCTGCGTAGTGCTAACATACATTTTTTTAACCAGTTATTTGCTAACATTTAAAAATCAGGAGGTTCAGATGCAGATCTGGAGTCTGTTCTCTGACAAAGTTAGAAAGCTGGCCCCCTCTTGGCCTGGCAGTGGTCACTGGAGCAGAGGGGCCACTCCCCATTTTAGAATGGGGTAGGCACCACCATCCTCTGCAGCCCTGTCTGCCACCCCACTTAGTTAACACCACCTGCCGGGCAGCAGTGGGCATTTCACTTCGCAAGCCCCCAAAGAAAGCGGTTGTTTTCTATGACCCCTGAAGCAGAGTCTCTCCAAACCACTGCAGCTGTCTACAAGACACTTTCCCCCGGTTATTTAGCCGCGGGGCTTGCCTGTTCTTATTCCCCGTGCAGTCATGGCTCAGCACTGCTGTCTGTCTCTTGCATTTATAGATTTCTGCAGTCATTCTGCATCCCAACTACGACCCCATCCTGCTGGACACAGACATCGCCATCCTGAAGCTCCTGGACAAGGCTCGCATCAGCACCCGCGTCCAGCCCATCTGCCTCGCAGCCCCGCGGGACCTGAGCGCCTCCTTCCAGGAGTCCCGCATCACTGTGGCCGGCTGGAACGTGCTGGCAGACGCGAGAAGCCCTGGCTTCAAGAACGACACGCTGCGCTCGGGGGCGGTCAGGGTGGTGGACTCGCTGCTGTGTGAGGAGCAGCACGAAGAGCACGGCATCCCTGTGAGTGTCACAGACAACATGTTCTGTGCCAACCGGGACCCGGCTGCCCCCTCTGATATCTGCCCGGCGGAGACGGGAGGCATCGCTGCCGTGTCGTTCCCGGGACGGGCGTCCCCCGAGCCACGCTGGCATCTGGTGGGGCTGGTCAGCTGGAGCTATGACAAGACCTGCAGCCACAGCCTCTCCACGGCCTTCAGCAAGGTCCTGCCTTTTAAAGACTGGATCGAGAGAAACATGAAGTGAGCCTCAGGCCCGTTGAGATGCTGTTCGGGCGCCCATCCCATCCGTACGTGTGTTGCACGAGGCCGTGTGGGCCTGAAGCTTGACTCTGCCTGTGAATTTGGCCGGCCCAGGGCTTCTGACTTCAGGATCGAAACTCAGTGGAGAGTGAGTAGAGCTCACCTTCAGGTAGGCCACTGTGTCCCTGGCTGTGGAGGCCATGCGGAAGATACCAGGGCTGCTTGCGAGAACCGAGTCCCCGCCAAAGAGACCATGCAAAGAGCAAAGCTTTGGTCCCCATTCCACAAGCCCGGTGACCTTGCCCACCTGCCCTGCAGTCAATGTCATGGCCAGCTCTGGCCGAGAGAGGCTTGGCCAGGAAGTCTGAGATTCATGAGGTTTCTTCCAAGACTCTGGCCGGACCACGTTCCAGAAAGCTGCGTGTGGGACAGCCCAGGACAGCAGGGCTCGGATGTGGCCTCGACGTTTGTGTACATTGCCACAGTAAAGTGTGGTCCTTTTCTTTCTCAATCCCCTGTACGTCTTTTAATAAAACGAGGGTTGGCTTCTGACCTACAGAACAAATGGGCTGTGGCTCTGATTTCTGCATGCTGCTTCTCAGGGCAATGGCTTGGTGACAGCCCTTTGAATAGCTCCTCAAGTTATCATTTCCAAACAATGAGTACAGCAAAGTTGATGCCGTCTTTTCAATACCAGCCCCTGAATGTGCTGGGTTATGGGCTGGAGGAGGAGCGACATGGGGGGCCATCAGATAAGGCACAAACAGAGGAAAATACCAAGGATTAGATGATTTCCAGTGTCCCCTCTGGTTCTCATGTCCTCGATCTAGCACAAAACTCAGCTTTGAACCTCCGTCAATCTTGATGACATGTTTTCATAGCTTCTGAATTGTCATCCCCTCTTTACTCACACTAGATTGAGATATGATTCCCAGTTTTCTGTAACTGATGGGGATTTTCCTTTCAAGCCCCACCTGGCTCCCACTGGATAGTGGAGGGAAAAAAATGAATTCAATCCAGTCCCTGAAGCGATCTTTTCAGTAACATTCACTTTTGTGGGTGGGGGTTACTCACCCTTTTATCCTTTTTTCCCTACTCTCCTGGCCAGTCTCCTGCCTTCCCAGATGGTGCTGGGGAGGCTGGGAACTTCAAGCATGGGGACACACTGGGACTCCCGAGGGCCTGCTGGCTTTTTGGGTGTGTGTGGTGGGTCTTTCCCGTTCCTGGCCGTTCCGCTGACATTGACCTCAGGTGCTATGGCTGTAACCACTGAAACTTGGGCTGTGTTCTCTCTGCTTCCCTGGGGCCCGGCAGCCCTCCTTGTTGGTGTGGGCTCCTCACCCCTGGCTGACACTGGTACTCCTGAGATGTGGGGGTGACCCCCTTTGAGGCCCTGGTTTGGGTCTCACTGCCCCAGTGAGAGCCTTCTCGGCCAGCCATCCAGCCAGACTCTCTGTGACCTCCCCTTCCTACTGTGGGGGCTTTTCCGTACTTCATGAGGGCTGAGAGCCCAGGGTTGGGACAGGGAACCCTGGAAGACATTCATCTCCTATACACCCAAACAGGAACATTACTCCTTCTCAACCTATTGGAGAGAATTTTGATCTCTGGGTCTTTAACCCCGACACAGGAGGTTAGGATACATTTGTCTTCCAAACTGCCTTACCAACTCTGTGTCTTTACATCGTCCCCAGAGCCAGAAGACAGTTTCTGGTACCTTATCTTTTTGTCAGGCTTTCTTGGGGCTTTCCATAATCTGTACCCACCTCCTTTCTCATGGCTTAATCTAAGAGCAATGTATTAGTTATCGACTTCTGAGTAACAAACATCTAATGCTTGTGGGTTAGAACAGGCAGTATTTATTTTCTCCTAGCTCCAGTGGGTCAGGAATTAGGGAACTGAGGTTGGCATGGGGTTGTAGTCATCTGAGGCCTTAACTGGGGCTGGGGCATTGGGTTCGACAAATACTGGGTTCGACCAGGTTGCTCAAAGTTTTTTTCCGTCTATTTTTTAAGCCTAGAAAACTTGGATCTTGAGAGGTACAGTGGAAATCTGAGGAAAGAGATCTAGATTCAAATTTTTGCTTTTCTTTCTTTTTTTTTTTTTGAAAGATTTTATTTATTTTGACAGAGAGAGAGAGAGCACAAGCAGGGGGAGGGGCAGGCAGAGGGAGAGAGAGAAGCAGACTCCC